AAACAAACTGAGGGTTCTAGAGGGGAGGGGGGATGGATTAGCCAGGTGATGGGTATTAAAGAGGGCATGTACTGCATGGAGCACTGGGTGTTATACGCAAACAATGAATCATGGAACACTACATCAAGAACTAATGATGTAATGTATGGTGATTAACATAATAAAAAAAAAGTTTACATTTAAACCATGCAAAGAAAGAACAAGTTGCAGATCATAGCTCCACAAGAACCCTTTAAAGAAGAACAAATGGAAATACCCCATGGGCTCCATTAGTATATTTTACATATAAAATATTTATTATGTATTATACAAGCAACCTATCCTGAGTATTCACCACACAGCAGACACTGCGCTTACATACACAGCACATGGTTAGAAGTACGGGCTCTGAGCCAGAGCACCTCAGCTCAAGTCCCTCTCTACCCCTCAAAGCTGTATGACCCTGGGTGAGTAAGGGAACTTGGTTTCTTTTTATTTAGTAAGAATAACAGGAATAACTACTTCATTGTGGTAACAATAAATGAATAATCTAGTGTTTGGCATAGAGCAAATGCTTTGTGAATGTTAGCTAAAACTATAACTGTCATATCATTTAATTCCTACAATTACCCTACAAGTACTCAGGACATTAGGACTCATGGAGGGAAAGCCTTTGCTAAACCCGTCACTAAACCAGGTTGTCTAGCTCCCGAGTCTGTGGTCTTAACTACTGTGTCCACTACTTTGTGTGCTAAGCATTGCCCTGCGCTCCTTCCACTGCCCTATTTCCCTAGCCTCCACCCCATCCCGGAAAGTGCATTTCAGAAAACACCCTTCCAGTGATTGAACTTACTCAGTTTTCCAAAAAGAATCTCCAATACTCTTCAGAGGACAGGAAAACAGTCTTTAGGGAAAAAAAAAAACATTACTAATCAATACAGGCAACATCAACTTGCCTCTCTGATTTCTTCAAACAGTTTGATGGCATGTTCATACTCGGGAGGCTCAGCATTCAGGTCTGACTCCAGGACGTCCCAGAAGGCCTGGTGGACAATGTGCTTCACTCGACTGGCTAAGCTACAGAAAGGAAATGAATTGCTTTTAAAAATAAGCATTATTTTTCCTGATTATAAAAGAAATGTGCTCATTGTAGAAATCTTAGAAAATGCAGAAAAAAAAACCCAGAATAAAAATGGCCCATAATCTCATTTTTAATCTTTTGACATATTTCCCTGGTTCAAAGCATTGTTTTAATATAGTTGAGGATAACCAATAGGTATATTATATACTCATTTCATTTAATATTCTGTCCTAAGAGTTTCCCCTAGACTTTAAAAATGCTTTCTTGCTATAGCTTTCAATAAGTTCATAAAATTCTATCTTAAGGAGATGCCATAATTTACCCAGCTACTCTTTAGATCTTTAAACTTGTTCTAGATTTTGGGAGTGAGATGGCAAAGTAGCTTTTTCCTCAACGGCTGAAGTTTCATTGCACAGAATAGAACAGATTAGCCCCAAGGAGACATGCATGTGAACTGCTGCCAACTGCAGTTGAGATGTCCCATTTAAAGTTAGCCGGACCAAACTGCTGAAATAGGAACCTTCCTAGGAAGAGCTCACAATAGAGTAGGTAGCCACTTTATTCACTGCTTATGTCAATGCCCTAAAATAGGTACACATTTAAATACACATCCCTACTGACCTCCTACATTTGACAACAGTTTTAAGAAAAGCACATATTTCCCTGCACTGTACTTATGAGTCTCCATCCCCTAAAGGTCATACATCTCTCCCAGGCAGAGGCCATAACTACTTCTTCTTCTAAGTACCTGCCACTGTACCTAGCACACTACCTGGCACACAGTGAGTATTTGATGAATGCATGGTGAATGAATTAATAATTTGATAGTTAAGCACATCTCCTAATTTTTCTTTTTGGAATATAAATAGCTAAACATAAAATAATGCTATGAGAAATTAAAATTAGCTTTCTGAGGGGTGTGAGTTAAAATTGTTTCTCTAACTGCAAATGCTATATTCTACTCAGCAACTTTAAATGTTAAAACTTACTCTGGTTGCCTGACTAGTTTCATTCAACATAAATGCTATTTCTAAAGGTGACCCTCCTGAGCAACTACAGAACAATTAGAAAGGCAAACGTTGCTGGCATAAACTTTCACTCTGGACTTTACAAGCCTCACGTAGTTGGCTTGAATGGGCCAACCAAGAAGGAGCTACAACAACTTTAGAGCTCCTGCAGGGATATCAGAGTTTAAATGTAAGTTTTCCTAAAGGCTGAAAGATATTTTTTAGCCTTTCAATCTTCTGGTGGATGGTGGGGAAGGATGAGATCAATCAAATCATTTACAAGCAGTCCTACTGGCTATCAGAAATTGGACATATTTTGCCAAGTCTTTTCCCCCCAAAACAAGATTTGGTTAAATATGAGAGTCAGTGATATTTTTAAAAGTAACAACTTGGCCATTTGTGGACAGTCATCTGAAAAATCAACAGGTCATCATATGCCATTTCATTTTTAAATAAAGGTAATTGTCCTAAGTTTGCATTTTGCTTTCCTTGCTCACATTTTCCAGCTATGGCAGAAAATGAAGGAAGGAGGCATTCCTATTTCCCATGGTATCAAAATACTTATGTTCAAGGCACTCAGATGCCCATGAGCATGCATTTGAAGTGAGCATTTTAGTCCCCATGATATCCTTGGGGAACATGAGGCTCAGAAATGGTCTCAGCAGAGCCAGGATTCAAACCCAGAGCCTATCTGATCCTGAAGTGCCTTCACTAATGCCTGTATTTGCAACTTTTGAATTTAAAGTATAAATATTTTCAAACTGTCTTTTGCTGTACTTCATAAAACACACTAATTTTAACTTCAAACATTCATTTTCATTAGTCAGTCAAAAATGTTTATAAGGCATCCAATATGGCCAGACCCTGTTTTAGGTACTGTGGTTACTATAGCAAAAAGAAAGTGTTTGCTCTCAAAAAGCTTATTTGTTAGCAGGGACAGGAAGACAAAAACAAAACACATTAAAAATAAATAAGGCAGTTTCAGAAACATAAAGAAGACAGAATAAAACAATGTGGTAGATAGTGATGGAGAGGGTGCTAACTTCACTGGTGGCTGAAGAAAGCTTCTCTAACACACTGCCCTTTGAGTTGAGACTTGAAGGAGGAACAAAAAATCAGCCAGTGAAAATCTAGGGGAACAACACTGAAAAAGCAGAAAGAAGAAGGACAAAGTCCTTGAACAGGATTGAGCTGGTGTATTCTGGGGTCGGCCATGAAGCCAGGGTGGCTGAAGCATAGCAAGCAGGAGGGAAAGGAGTGAGAGACATGGTCTTGGAAGTAGGGCCTTGCTGCCATACTAAAGGGTTTGAGTTCTTAGTCTAAGTGTCATAGAAAAACCACTGAAGGATTTTAGGCAAAGAAATAGGGACCTATTCTGATTAACCCTTTAGAAAGATCACTCTGGCTACCGTGTGGATATGGAGGATGGATTATGGGGAGCTAAGGATGCTGAGACAGGGCAACTAGTTAGGACTTAAAGAGTCGAGGTCAGACATGACGGTGGCCTGGCCTAGGAGTGTAGCAGTAGAGCCGGTATAAAGGATTATGGTGAAATGCAGTTGCCATAGACAACCAAACAGATATACCTATTTTGGTCAGTAAACTTAAAAAATATTGATTATTACGAATAATAACCCGAGGAGCAGGAGGACTCTGATCCACATTTCAAAGAAGGAAAATTATTATGTTTGCTACTTTCCTGCTTTAAAACAAATAAACATAAAAGCTCTAAATAGAATCAAATATTATATTTTGTCTTACTTGATAGAGGAAATGCCTCTGGATTTATAAATGACACTGTGAGGTTGAAGATTCAATGCCATTATTCGTGAGCTAACTTTGCCTGTAAAGATGAGTTATCTGTAGTTACAGCCTCAGCCTTTTCTCCCAGGGGATTTCCGAGCCACCAAAGTTAGAGAGGCTGAGGTAGGATATAAGGGCATGGCTCTAACTAGAAGTCCTTGGGCTGGGGGTTTGGGGGGTGTGTGAGGTTAACTGGGGTGCCCATGTAGTTGTGATTCCTACCTCCACATGCTTCTGAATCACCTCTTAGCACTTTGGCAGCTCCACTACATTTATTTATCTTTTACAACCTGAATATCAGTTTTTAAGAAGTCAAGCTGCAGGGCTGCCTGGGTGGCTCAGTCGTTAAGCGTCTGCCTTCGGCTCAGGTCATGATCCCAGCATCCTGGGATCGAGCCCCGCGTCGGACTCCCTGCTTGGCGGGAAGCCTACTTCTCCCTCTCCCATTCCCCCTGCTTGTGTTCCCTCTCACTCTCTGTCAAATAAATAAATAAATAAAATCTTCAAAAAAAAAAAGTCAAGCTGCAAACATTTCTTGAGCATGTACTAAATGTCAGGTATTCTGTTAGGTAATGGGGATACAGCAGCAAACAATATAGACATAGTTCCTCTATTAATGGTGTTTTGGCCACATGGGAAAGACAGACACTGAACATAAAATTATAAGCCTTACTAATAAAAAGGAGGTAGGGGGCAACAGGAGTCTTTAGGAAGGGGATTTAATGTAATCTTGTACTCTCAGGAATGTCAGGAAAAGCTTCCCTCAGGAAGTGACATATAAGCTGAGTTCTAAAGATTATGGGTAACAGGTACCCTTGAGGAATGGTTTTAAAAACAAGTATAAGACCTTGCTAGAGAACTAACCAATGTTTGCTCCTGGTGGCTATTATACAAGACTTCTAGGAATCAGTGTGAATGTGCGTGTATGTGTGAGACTCTGCAGCTCAGTTTACACATAACAAACACCTCTGGGTTACCTGTTCTCAGGGAGGGCTTCTTGTTTCAATTGAAAGTTCTCATTTACAGCAATTTCGTGAGCAAGTGTCATGTTTGATAAGTTCCTTGCTGCAGCCATCACTTCGTCAAATGTTACAACCCTGGGAGGGCTTGTTGCTAAAACAAAAACAAAACGCAGTTCATGTCATGGAGGAAAAGCTGTCATCCAATGAAGCCTCCTGATGCAGACTGAATTTAAGTTATTCTAACATATATATTCAGGGTTTTACAAGTAAGAAGAATATATACTAAATTAGGTAGATTTCCCTGCTTACTACTTAAGACTTCAAAAATTCAAGAACTCCTTTGGTAGTTTCAGTTACTGTATTGGTAATAAATTCTCAAATGTTTTAGAGACTATCTTATTAGTATAAGCTATTATAAGTTATTTTTCTTTTATTAAATCACCTCATATTTTAGTACCTGTTGATATCTGCATTTATTACACATACTATGCAGGAACTTGATAAGACTACTTTTATTCTGTAATTCGTAACTCATTAATTTAAGCAGACTCAAGATGAAATAATTGATTTTTTAAAACTATAACTTCTAAAAGTATACGCAGTATAGCATAATGTTTAGGTTTGATTCCAATTTTTTCCAATTGGTAGATATTATTTGACTTCACTAAGGCATAACTTACCTCCTCAGGGCTGTCTTTAGGTGATTAAATAAGAAGAACAAAGTAAGAATTTCATAAATGTAGATAATTAAAATATAAGCTGGATAATCTACTCAGTAGGAAGTAGTATATAAAGAATTATTCTACTTACTTCTAAAGATTATTCTAAAAAATTATTCTAATAAACCATGTCTTTAAAAAATTACTATTGGAACTCTTAGGTTCAATTAATTAAAAATCATTACCTCAGACAACAGTACTGACTGGCATTATTTTGCTACCTAAAATAATTTCTCAAAGAAGGAGGAGGAAGAGGAAGACCATGTGGAGGAGGAGGGGGAGGAAGAGGAAAAAACGGTGATACACGGAATTAGTAAAACCCCTCTTTAGGATGCCTGCCTACCCTGTTAGAGGAGCCTCATATATAATATAAACAGTGAGAAAAAGCACAGAAAGCTAGGTGGCTGCTAGTAAAATCTTTTCTCAATTCTCTGTCCCATTAAGATTCTTTTAAAAAATGTCTGTACCCTTGGGTCCAATAATCCAATTATATCCAAAGGAATTCCTGGAAACCTTAATGCACCAAGATGTTCATAAAGCACTATTTGTTAACAGCAAAAAAAAAAAAAAAAGAGGAAATTAACTCAATGTCCAATGATAAATCAATGGTTAAATAAATTTATGGTATATTTATTTGATGAAGTAGCTTTAGTATATTAAAAGTATGTTATATCATCAGTAAATGTTTTAGTTATAATTCTTTTTTTTAAGATCTGTTTATTTATTTGGGAGGGGAAGGGGCAGAGAGAGAGAGAGAGAATCCAGAAGCAGACTCCCTGCTGAGCATGGAGCCTAATGTGGGGCTCGATCCCAGGATCCTGAGATCATGACCTGAGCTGAAATCAACAGTTGGCCACTTAAATAACTGAGCCACCCAGGCACCCCATGTTTTAGTTATAATTCTAAGTGAAAAGAGTCTACACATATATACACACACATATGTCTATGTGAAGAATGAATATGACAAACTGCTGCCAGCTGTCATCTTTGGGTGATACTACGGGCAAAATTTTCTTTTCTTTATACTTATGTACTTTCCAAATTTTTAAAAATGAGACTGTATAAATTTAAAATAAACACAAATGAACAAACGTTTTTGAAGTGGGCATTTGATATTTTAGACATTAGTTGCTTCTTTCTGCATTTGCTTTGTCTGTTTAAGGTGTTATATTTCCTATGCAAAATGTCAATTAAAAAGCTAAAAAAAGACAAACACACTTGCTTTACACACCTCTAGCTTCCACACACAAGGGAAAAGACATCTCCCTCACTATGGCCACTTTTTTAACTTTCTCACACCCCTAGTGTAGTAATTCTCCTTGTGGGCACTTTTGTGCAGTGATTTGCACAACAGGTTTTGAAATCAGCAGGAAGCCCTTAACATTATTTCACTTCCTGCCTGTCCCTTAAATTGGGGCAAGTTTCCTTCCATGTTAATCGGCAATTATCAGAAAAGACCAATTTGAACTTATCCTTGAATGTTGCCCAAGAAGTGATCCCAAGAGGGAGTGGCTTTCCACTACTCAAGAGAAAAGACAGGTTGGGTTTGGGAACCTGATTTATAATCAAACCAAAACAGATCAGAGACAGTAACGAAAATAAAAATGGGCAGGTTGTATAACTTTAGCAGCTATTTACTCCTGCCTTTGCAGTGCTATTACGGTACATCTAGAAAGGCGGGGGAGTCTCTACTCTGCTCTCATTCATTTATGAGTTTTCAAATCTAACACACATGTCTAGAACAAACAGCCCCCCACCCCCCACCCCCCAACGGCTGCTCCCCCGTCAGCTTACAAGCAGGAGAGCTGGATTTGCTGGAAGAGTCGCTTGTAAAGCTCTGCCTGGAGCACTCATAGTCACTGAGTGAAGCCATGCTTTCGGAAAACCGGGAAGAGTCTGAATCGCTTGGCTGGTCCTCGCCCACACACTGCTTCTCACCATTGAAGGGCATCTTGTGTCACTCAAGTGTGGGCAAAGAGATGGTGCCTGCATAGACAAATAGACCTGCATCAATGCTCTGTGGTACTTCCACCAGCATCGCAGATGCTTCTTCCAGTGTAGACAGTTTTGCCCACAGGGGTCACAGTGTTGAAAGGTCCCAGAAGATAACCTTGTCTTTCCCATAGCAGCCAGGCTATTACCAGGCCTTCAAGACTGCCTTCCAGAAAAGAGACTCCAGAGCCCTAAGTGTGAACTTGCTCAGGACATACATAGTGTGAATGTGGAACAGCTCTCAGCAATAACAGATCCTTTCAAAATGAGCTGAAGACACAGTCTCTCTCTTCCTGGGTTTCTAAAACATGGAAGGTAAGAGTAAGAGGGTGGGGCCCTGAGGCTGGACTGCCTAGGTTAGAAGCTCATGCTGTCTTTGCCATGTGACATTGGGAAAGTCACTAACCCACCCACCTGGAGTAAAACTGGGCTGAAAGACTAAACTTACAGAGTTGCTTGAAGATTAAATAGGATTAATCTTATTAAAGTGCTTAGCACTCAAATGTTAGTTATTATTACTGTTCTTATGGCTTTGTTTTAAATGAACTATTTTCGAAATCAGCCTCTTTAGTTCCTTGTGAGCTTCTTGGGGAAAGGAGAAGACTAAAATCTCTGGCTGGCAAGTCTTCAGGTTCTTCTCCATTTTCCTGTGAACTGCCATAATATAAAGACTAAAGCCTGACCCTGGGTTTGCACTTGACAGCTGACTTGGTACCCACTACTACCCGATGAACAAGCACCAAAGATCCTGATTCATGAGTGAAAGAGACAGACTCTGAGGGACGAGGGGACTTACCATGCCATAAAACCAGTCCCTTGACTCTATCTATGGCCAGTGCTGTATCTGGGACATCAGATTGCCTCCCAGGTAAGAGCAGGGCACTTGGGCCCAGTCACCCCCTTGAAAGGAGATCCTGGGCACATAGGATGCCCCAGCCTGAGCCCAGGAGCATCAGCCAAGGCCCAGGAGGGAGCTGGCTCTGATATGTATGGTGTTAGCTGCCACTAAGGGAAACCTGGCCCCGAGGAGGAAGGTGCAAGTCCTGAATAGACAACAGTGATAGTAAGGGTTCACTGAATCTCTTTAAACCTGAACCAGCCCATGCAATGAGGTATATAGAGCTTTTAAAGCTACAAAAACTTGAAAACACAGCCACGCATAGTATGTCTGGAAATCCTGCACAGTTTTTTCAATGATTCCTTTCATATTTATTGAGTGCCTACTATGCAGCAGCACCAGGAAAGGTTAACAGTGAACAAAAGAAACAGGGCCCTACTCTCATGGGTGTCAAGTCTAGTTACCTACAACTGTGTGTGTTGGAGGCTAGAAGATGAGAAAAGGAGAAACAAGGCATTGCTGGGGAAGCACAAGAAAGGAGAGACCAGGTGAGACTATGGGGGAATCTAGCCTTTGTTGAGAGAAATGGTGCCATTTTTTAACCGTTGGGTGGTAACAGAGACAAGGATGAACCTCAGAGGAACTTTAATTAAAGGTAAATGCCTAAGGGCATTTGCCCCTGGCCTCACCTAAACAACCCTCTTCAGTCCTTCCAATTGTGCACCTTCCTGGGCCCACCACTTTCACAAACAGAAAACCACTAACTCAGAGGCTGCCTTTGCAAGGAATCCAGTGAAGCTGCCAGGAAGCTACCATGTAGAGAGGTCTGTCTGCCTTGTCCTAGACTCCCAAGGCCAACCACCACCAACACAGGCTATATATAAAAGAGCCCTGAACCCCTGCAACCTCAGTGGGGAAATAACCTCCTTCACCACATGCAAACTAGTTTCTACTTGAGCTTTAATTCCCATCTGCTGGGGGGAAGGGAACAGAGGACAGAAGAAAAGGGTCTCTCTAACTCTTTCACTTCCACCAAACCCCAATCCTAAATGGAATACTTACTCTTCCGTCTAGATTTCTCTCTCTCTCTCTCTTTGCCAACATTTTACGTCTCACTGATGGCATTTCTTGAAAATGCTACCTTCCTCAGGAAGCCTTTACTCCCTGGTCAGAGTGAATGACTCTTCTTTCTACATCTGCAGCACATGTCCTATATCCCCACCATAGAGCTGAGTCCCTTGTACACTTATTTTCTTCCCATGGCTACTTCTGACTCTCCTTAATAAGGCAGGGACTGTGTCTTGTCCATTGCCAGTGTCAAGTACGTGGCAAGTATTCATTTAGTGTCAGCTGAATCGGAATCACTGAATCCCATTTGGTACAGCTTCAACCAGAACATTCGCAAACTGATATCAGTACACCCTTACAGGCCTGGTACTGCCAAAGTTAATGCTCTGGAGCAGAGAACCTACCACTTAAACCTACTTTATTAGCTTTAAGACTCAATATTCCCTGGTCCTGGTCACACTCTTATTTGAATATTTTAAACTTCATTTCCATTTTATTATTTTTTTCCATCATTCCACCATAACAACTGTGCTCTGTATGCTCTGCTCTTATTTTTTCTTCACTTTGGCTGTTTTTCCAAGTAAAGGTGAATAAAAGCTTTCATCCATTGGAATTTATGAACTAGGTTAATAGTTGTAACTGTCCATTTCATTTTTCTACTCCAGTTGAACAGCACACTTTGTAGGTTCCTTAATTGTGTTTAACAAGGCAGCAAAGTACAAAGATTTAAAAATAAAAAGATGTAGGTTAGGAGTTAGAAAGCTAGAGTCTGAGGCCTGAATCTGTCATTAATTTGCTATGTGACTTTATGCACATCACATCGGCTAGCTTCATCTCATTTTTCTGAGCAGGTTGGGCAAGCTATAAGGTCCCTTTCAGCTAGGAACTGCTAAAATTCTATAAACCCAGAGTTCCATGAGGCTTCACTAGAAGTTCTGAGAAATTAAATGTGCTCATGGCAGACATACTTAATAATGTGCAACTATGCTTCCTTCCAAAAATTCACTGGAAGTAGAGTTTCTGGCACAGGGAATGCAACAGAAAATGTGAAAGCTTCAAAATGTTTAGACACTCTTGTTTGGTTGGTAGAAGCCTCCATAGCACAACTGGGCTTTAGTGCATCCAAGGAGAAACTCTCCTTTGAAGCCCAAATGCCCATTATTATTCTATAAGGAAACTGCCTGTTTCCTCCTCTAGGCATACTAATAATACCCAATGCATAGGGTTGGTGTGGGACTACATTTAGTCAATATGTGTAGAGTACTTGGAACAGTATCTGACAGAAAAAACAGGATATAGATGATTGCTATTATTAGTATTATTTGCATTTTTTCTTGTTATTATCATTTCAGGCATTAAAAACTCTAGAAGGGAGAACTGTTTTATCCCAAGATGATAAAAGCATATTCCCCTACAGATAAACAAGACTGCTAGTTAACCAAGGCAGAGCTCTTGCACTTGTCGTAGATACTTCCACAGCTTTAGATACTAAAGCTGAAAGCAAAAGGCCCATTCCAGTGCAAATGGTCTTCTGCAAGCTCATTCACATCTGTTCTTACTTTTCTTGGTCTCGGGTTTCCGTATAAGTCATCTGGGGACAAAGCTACTTGACTCAAAAGGCATTGAGGGTAATTAGATGGCTTTAAAAACTATTTTGGATTCTCTCTTAGAATAGTGATAATAAAACCAGTCTATTTCTTTAAGAAAGGTAATGCTTCTCATACTGACAAACTTAGACCTACTTAACTTTCACCATTGCCAATCACAAGCAAACCACACAACTTTTAAGAAACACCACATCTCATCCTACCTGGAGGATTTACTACTGGCCAAAGGTAAAGTCAAAGGTGAAAACAGTGGATAACTCCAAGCAAAGCCTCCAACACTACAGTGGGTCACCATCAAGGAGAATAATCACATTCTCACTACATTCTTTCTCATTTAATTAAGTTCAATATTATATAGTTTCTTCCAAGACCAATGACTGGGATGCAGCTGACATTTAAACATTTATTGTTGAATGAATGGCAATATGATCATTGACATTTTAGAGAGGAGGAAATGGGTACAGGGATCCCAAAGGGGATAGTTCTGTGACCCATGACAGATAGAAGGGAAATAGGTTTTTTTAATTTGCTAGTTGACTCCTTAGCCTGTGCCCACACTACCAACTTTACTTCTTTATTGCCTTTTCATAGCAAACTCATCTGCAAATGGTCCAGCACAGATTCAGGATTAGAAAGATCCACCAGTGACAATGTACATGTCCACAAAGCAGTAAGAACACTGGCGCTGGAGTCAAGTGGACTGGGTTCTTGATCCTGACTCTTGATATTTACTGACTAGAGAGAGGGAACTTAGCCATTTGTAAAATGGGGCTAATAATAGTATCTACCTCATAGAGTTGTTGTGAAGATTAACTGAAATAGTCTATGTAAAGTACTTAAGCTCCTAGTAAGTGCTTGACAGATTGTCAACTATTATTTTATTCTTACTAAAAGAAATTATGATTTCCAAACATGTCAATGTCATAAAAACAAAGAAAGGCTGAAGACATGTTCCAGATGAAAAGAGACTTGACAACTGAGTGCAACAGATGATCCCTGACTGAATCCCATACCAGAGGGGAAAAAACGCTATTATTGGATCAATTAACAGCACTGTTACAAACTTTACTGTCTGTATTACAATGTTAAATTTACTAAAGTTGATAAATGTACTGTGACTACATATTAGGAATAAAGGGCCATGATGTATGCAACTTTCTCTCGACTAATTTAATGAGAAAAAGAAAAAACAATAAGGCATACGGAGCAAAATGTTAACAGATGAATATGAGTAAAAGGTAGACAATAAGGAGTTCTTTGTAGTGTTCTTACAACCCTTTCTGTAAGTTTGAAATTATTTCCAAGAGAAAGATTAAAAGAGAAGTACTAAACCAAAACTCCAAGTCTAATTCAGAACACTCGGGCTCCTGTAATTTTTAGATTTTGATTGTTCCCACTGCTGGGATAGCTTAGATACCGTTCTATTATAAAAGCTCTTCTAGACAG